CTTCAAAATGGCTAGTGCTAGAATACTGTGTTTTTTCCTACATGGATTCTTAGAAATTATTTTGTATTAATATTTCTTGTGATCTAGGCTTAAAGATCAATCTGCAATGCAAGTAACACTCCAATTTGTGGACATCAGTTGTTAAACTTTTCTTAGTACTTACTTTAAAATCAATTTTTTTCTCTTTGGTAAAAGAAAACTGAATGACTAAACCACTGAATTCCCAGCCTGAAAGTTTTATAGGATATGATACAAACTATAACCTTCTGTTACTATTTATGCTTACCTGTTCAAGTTAATTCCTGTCTTCATGAGTGATTTGTAACTATTTTTGGCAACCAGTTATTAAAAAAAAAAAAAACGTACAATCCAATCTAAACGTTTTGCTAAGTCACGCAGAGAGTTAGAAAGCACATTTCATCACCTGGGGTGAGAAGAAGAAAAAAAAGATAGAACACTCACACTTTAACAGTTTTACTAAACCTGTTTGAAACTGTCTTGCAGTATTTGACTTGCAGATACATTGATATAAATGGATATCCCACTTTCCCTTTTTTTTGTAATTAGTTAGGTGTAAGTGTGTTATTATTGGCCTAGGATGAGTAATGAATATGTATGCATTTGACTTATATGGCTGCTTATCTTATGAAACCAAAGACAGCAAAACAAAAAACCTGGCAACTCACCAGCAATTTGTATTCCATTGAACAATGTGATCTCCCGGCTCCAACCTGCCTTATCCCAATGCCTGGAGGAAAAGCTAACACTTTGGCATCCCTGAAAGCTAAAAGGGCGGAGACCTGCAGGATACCAGGGGCAAGACTATTCCTCAGGGTAGGGGCTGCTGCAGAAAAATTGTGCTTCCTACATCTTACGCTTCTGGTATTTTGAACCACCCTGAAGCACATGGCTCTTTGCCCAAGCCTTTGGCAAGGGGCATTGAAGCTTGTTTGGATTATGTGAGTTTGTTTTCTTTCCTGTCTTCCTTGTTATCGTCCTTGCCATTTTTCATTCTTCATTTTTGTTCATTGCTGCATTTTCCTTCTCTTTGTTTTTAATATTTTTAATTTGTCGGTCACCCTGGAGTCATTTGAAATCAGGTGGCGTAGAAATTTAAATAAATAAATGAATAAAATAAATAGCAGCATGTAAGGAAAGAGATATGAGGCATGCCTGCCCTATCCAACCTGGTGGGGTGGGCAGATACTGTCATGGACATGCAGTCCCACAGATAACTTAACTCTCTGCTATATGGAGCTATAAAGGTAATAACTAGCATCTTGAATTGTGTCATGGGCAAAAGTGATAACAGCAGTTAGATAAGAGAAATCTGAGTCAGGGCCATAACTGTAATTTGAGAAAGTGTCTCAAAAAAGACTCTCTCTAGTTCACATGAAGATAAAGGGGGGGGGGGAAGCACAATCAGACTTAAAAGATTTGTTAACTGTAACCTTATATTTAAATCAGCATTAGCATGCATGAGTTTGGTTTCCTAATCAGATCTACCTTAAAGGGCTGACAAACCACATCTAGGAAAAAAACCCGGCAGCTCCCACAACAGTGATAGGATAATGGGCAACCCAAGGTGCACCCAGCACCACATGCCACTGTATTCCGTTGCAGTTGTAACTTCCAACTGGTCTTTAAGGTCAACAAGATACAGAGTGCATTGCAGTAATTCAGCTAAGAAGCGACCAAGTCATGAGTTCCTGTGAGCAAGGCCTCCCAGGCCAGGAATGGCACAATTGATGCACAAGATATTTTTGTGCAAAGGCTCCCCTAACGATGGCTGACATCTCTTTGACTGGGTGCTGCAATTCCAGGAAGATCCGCGAACTGCTCACCAGCTCTGTCTAGCGCAGTGTTTCTCAACCTTGACAATTTTAAGGCATGTGGACTTCAACTCCCAAAATTCCACAGCCAGCAATGCTGGCTGTGGAATTCTGGGAGTTGAAGTCCACATGCCTTAAAATTGTCAAGGTTGAGAAACATTGCGCTAGCGAAGTGCTACCCTGTCAAGAGTCAAAGATGGCACATCATCAGCCCCAGGGGGAAAGCAAAAAGCCAAAGCAACTCGGTCTTTATAAGGTTGAATCAGAGCCATTTCCTCTCCCCCCCCCTTGGTCAACATTGAAATAGTGTTGATAAATGGTTCAGGCCTGGCTGTGGAACATAATATAGGCTTTTTAAAAACTATTTCTCCATGAACAATCACCTTTCTTTTCAAATTCAAATATTTCTGAAAACTGTGGCCATTATTCTTTGCCACATTCTTTGAATACATAATGGGCTGTAAAAGTAACCTTGAGGAAAGGAGATTTTGTTTTTTTTAAAAAAGGGTCTTTATATTAAACTCTTTCGGAGAGACCGAACTAGGAGGGAGTAGAGAACTTCTATTCTCCTCCTTCCTCGTAAACCTAAACGTTCTAAGACAATGACATTGTATTATTTTTGTCAAAGCCCTACGTACTGAACTAAAAGGAGGAGACTAGATAGAACTTAACGACTGTCGTGTCCTCTCTGATTTCCTTGTCTATCGGAAAGTCAGATTGTGTGAATTCTTAAACAAGTTGCTGAATAATTTGGAATTGAGATAATAGGAGCCTTTTGCCTTGGCCTGTAGCTAGCACCCTGGTGCCTAGATTGGATGGGTAGCAGTCATTTTGGTTTACTTACTACAGAGCTGCAATATTTTGCTTTTCTTTTACAACAAGGAATGGAGCAAAACAGCTTCTTTTCAAACTTAAGTTCTGCTGCTGCTTTATTTTAAGGGAAAAAAGGAAGTGTGCATGAGGGTAAATGTAAAGGAAAAGTCAAGTGAAACAGGAAGGCTTAAAAACAAAAGGGGGGGAAAGGGATGTGACACTGGGCAAGGGGAGGAAGAGAAGGTGAGAGAGCATTTTTGTTCTGTTCTTGTGACTCTAGACTGGACTACAAAGCTGAGCTTATGTGACTGTGGCTTGTAAGAATTAGAGAATCAACCGGCACAATGTCTTGGTTATATAACAATTTGCTTTTTTACCTTACTTTCTTGATTTCAAGCTCTTTTGTCATGAATTATAGGACAAGATTAATCCAGTAGAGCAGGGGTTCCCAACTCCTGGGCTGTGGCCCACTGCCGGGACTTGAGCCTTTTGGAACCGGGCCAGGGAAGTAGCAGGCAAGGGAGCATGCACGTGCATCCCTACTTACGTGAGCAGTGGGTGAGCGCGTTTGCACGCGCTCCATTTGCACGAGCAGCAGGTGTGGGTGCCCGCCACTCACGCAAATGGACCTGGTCGCATGCACACGCTTGCCTACCATATGCACAAAAACCCTCTCCCCCCCCCCCCCCCCCCCCCCCCCCCCCCCNCAGAAATATAATTTGAGAAAGCCTCTCTGGCTTGATCCTCCCTCATCTCTTGAAGATAAGAGGAGGAAGGAGCATTTGGATTTGCAAGATTCTGTTACTGTAACATAATAAAAACAGTTTCGGGATGCATGACTTGATTTTCCTCCTCTGATCTATCTTGAATTGCTGACAGCACAGGAGAGACTAAAGGAACAGATAGAGAAAGTCAGATTGTGTGAATTCTTAAACAAGTTGCTGAATAATTTGGAATTGAGATAATAGGAGCCTTTTGCCTTGGCCTGTAGCTAGCACCCTGGTGCCTAGATTGGATGGGTAGCAGTCATTTTGGTTTACTTACTACAGAGCTGCAATATTTTGCAGCTTCTTTTCAAACTTAAGTTCTGCTGCTGCTTTATTTTGAGGAGAAAAAGGAAATGTGAATGAGGGTAAATGTGGAGGAAAAATCAAGTGAAACAGGAAGGCTTAAAAACAAAAGGGGGGGAAAGGGATGTGACACTGGGCAAGGGGAGGAAGAGAAGGTGAGAGAGCATTTTTGTTCTGTTCTTGTGACTCTAGACTGGACTACAAAGCTGAGCTTATGTGACTGTGGCTTGTAAGAATTAGAGAATCAACTGGCACAATGTCTTGGTTATATAACAATTTGCTTTTTTACCTTACTTTCTTGATTTCAAGCTCTTTTATCATGAATTATAGGACAAGATTAATCCAATAGAGCAGGGGTTCCCAACTCCTGGGCTGTGGCCCACTGCCGGGACTTGAGCCTTTTGGAACCGGGCCAGGGAAGTAGCAGGCAAGGGAGCATGCACGTGCATCCCTACTTATGTGAGCAGTGGGTGAGCGCGTTTGCACGCGCTCCATTTGCGCGAGCAGCAGGTGTGGGTGCCCGCCACTCACGCAAATGGACCTGGTCGCATGCACACGCTTGCCTACCATATGCACAAAAACCCTCTCCCCCCCGCAGCCTGTCTGCAAAGCTGAAAAGGTTGGGGAACTATGCAATAGAGGATCATATTGTCTTGCATTTGTACCATTTTGTTGCAAGATTTCTCCCTCAATCACTACCAAAGTAGTGCTTAAAGCTGATGTTGCACAGAAGCTCTCAGATTTGACCCATTCAAATATGGCTGACACAAAAATATGAATCATAAGCACGGATCATTATGGACCTTGTTGTATTTCAAGAGTTTCACCAGTAAATCACAATTCATATTCACGTCCACATTTTCTGTGAGTCAATAAAGTTCCATATATTAAATCATAAAAATGCATGTTTCAGTCCTGGTTTTGGACTGTGTTGTCACTGGGCAGGACAGGAAACTTGATTTTTCTGTTATTTGATGATACAAGATCTGAAGTAGCTTCGAAGACATAGCCCGGCAATCCTAATGGGCACATCAACAAAGGTAAACAGCATTTGAAAGAAGAGCCTCACAAGAGTGAAAGCAGGAGTGTAAAGGAAGCAGGGCTTTTAGAAAATATTATGTTGGATTTTCAGTATTATAAAGCTTAACATGGATTGTATCTTTTTAATCTGTTCCACCAATACAGTGGGCTGGTTTCTGTTAGTGGGAAAAGGGCATAATAGGCTTTAACCTATTCAGTAAGTCTAGTAAACTAAAATTTCTGTTTTGTTTTCCATTTAATTCAGGCAATTGCTGGATATTTTGATGTGCACTTTGAGAAGAATTGTAACAAACAAGTAAGTATTTGAAAGCTACATGTTCAAAATTAATTATAAAATATATTTTATATGTTGGCAGCTTTTTGCCTTAAGGTGTTTGGAAATAAGCCTATTTGGTATTGCAAACATTTAATATGTATTGTTGTATAATGAATTAATGAAGCATGTTATTTAGACTTGTACTTTATCAGGCTTCTCTAAATTTTATTACTGCAGATTCTGCTTTCAACTAGTCCCTGTTGCACCAAGACACACTGGAAACAAACAATGTTTTTTCTGGAGAAGCCAATTCCTGTTGAGGAAGGTATATATATTTTTGCCATGCCATTATACTTTTCAGAACAGATTGGTTGTTAACAAATCCACATACAAAATTATTTCAAAAGCTTAACTCTGTGCCATCACTGTTTCCATTTTGCCTTTCGTTGTAGCATATATGAAAGTTATTTTAACACCGATCCAGAATTTTTAAGACTCTAGGTGAAAATACTTAATCTACTGAGGGTAAGTAGATTAGTAATAAATCTGGTTAGTAATAAAATGGGAGACTGCCAGGAAACTGTAGGCTAGTCTGGAAAGTTGAAATAAAATCCTGGAAAATGAAAAGGACAAACCATTTCCTTATCATTGCCTCTCCCCCCAATCAAAGTGTATCCGTCTAGACACAAAAAGTTAACTCAAGCAACTGTTTATCTTTTTTCTATGACTCTGCAACTTCAACATGCCTAGGAATTAATTTTTACATTACCTTGATAAACATAAATAGTTAATATGCACATTGGGAAAGGGGAAAAAGGGAAAGGGAAAAGGACAAAGAAAACTGGGCAAATTTGCCAAAAGTATTCGCAAATATTTTGTTAACTTTTTCAGAAGGGTTTTAAATTGGATGTGGGAGAGAAATAGAGGCACATATTCAAATAGAGACGCGCTAGGCATTAGCTACATGCACAGCTGGTAATGGAAGGAGTGCAAGGGAGACATTTGGAAATCCTCAACATGATGTAGGAAAACTAATAAACTGACATTCTCAGGTTCCCCATTGACCTGTAAGAATCCATTTATCTTCCGTGAATTTAAGACTTCTGGGCCTTGCAAATTACATACCATTTGACAGAAGTGACCAAGTATTGTTGACTGTAATATTGGGAATTGATTAGGTATTGGAGGAGCACATATAGTCCCAGTATTTAAAAAAGGTAATAGAGAAGCTCTGGGAAGTGACAGATAGTTGAATGCTTAGTAATATTGATAGATTGTCAAGTAGCATGCCTACAAACTGTTTAAAAAGATATCGCTACCTGAAAATAACATCGGGTTTTGCAGAAACAAATTGTTGAACTAGACTTATCTCTTTTTATTTCAAAAGGAATCACTGGGGGTGGGGTGGGGGGGAAAGATAAGGGAAAGTTGTGGACATAGCCATATCGTAATCCCAATAAAGCATTTGACAAAATCTCTGCTTATGCTCTTTAAGGACAAGATGGATGAATATGGGCTAGAGGGTAATGTGGCTCAGTAGATTTTGCAGTTGGATGAACCAACACACCTTTTATTAAATGATTCTGTGCTGACTGAGTAGGATTCCCAAGACTCTGTCTTCAGACTAGTGCTTTTCTATAGCTTTATAAATAGCATGGAATAGGAGGCATGCCAATCAGATTTGAAGATGCTACTAAACTACAAGTTTTGGCTGGCATCATAGAGGACAAAAAAAGAACCACAGTTCAGAATTACCTCAAGAGGGTTAAATATTGGGTCAAACCCAAAAGGATGATGTTCATTGACAACCGTCATAAGATATCGATATTAAATGTGTAAGTACAGGATTGGAGAAACATGCTTTGATGGCAGAGTATATGGGAAGTTGCTTGGAGTGCTTCTGAGACACCAACTAAATACAACAAACAATGTTATAGTAGCTAAACAGGTTAGTGCCATTTTGGGTCATATTAACCAAAAAAGGATGGCCAGATTACAGGACATAATACTTCCTTTGTTCTTTATACTGGTTAAGCTGCACTTGGAGTACTGTTTTTATTCTAGGCACCACACTTTAAAAAGAATACATAGAAACTGGTGCAGATTCAGAGAATCTGATGGTAAGCTGCCCACCAGACAGGTTGTATGAGAAGTGATTAAAGAATGTAGACATTCTTAGCTTACAAAAAAGAAGTTCAGGACACATGTCATAGCCATCTAAAAATAACTAAAAGTTGTTGTGCACAAGGGGGCATATATGTTTCTTTGTTTAAACCACAAGCCTAGTGTGTTGACACTAACAGGCGATTTGGGCTGAGTATTAGAAGGGATTTCTGAACAGTTTGCCTAGGATAGTGGTAGGTTCCCTCACAAATGAGCTGAGTGGCCATCTGTTGGGATGATTTAATAGACTTCCTGCATTTGCAGAAGTTTGGAACAGATGACCCACAAGGTCCCTAGCAATTTATAACATTCTGCAATTCTATGTAGAGAAGGCTAATGGTTAATCAGATTTTTACCCAGTGTATGGATTAGATGATAGTTTGTTTGCCGCACAAAAGGATACTACTTCTACATTAGCATTTATTTACAGCAATTATTCATTTGTTGTATCTCAATTTGGCAAGCAAAAATAATTCAGACAACATGGGGCTCATGTTTTCTGATGCTTTGTTTCCATAAACTAATTGTAACGCGAATGTAATATGATTCTACCATGCAGCTTTTCTGATTTGAAAGTTTTTGGTTTTGGCTAGAAAGGCCATCGTATGAAATCATAGGACCATTTGATTGCAGGAAAAGCACCGAAGTATGTACAAAGGGCACTTCTGAAAATATGTTGGCATAAGCAAAATATCCCTCCTCAAACTCCTTTTCTATGTCAACACCGTTGTTAGTTTCATGCCATTCCTTTTCTCTAAGAGGTCAAGGCAATGTGCTTTTCAAAATGAACTTTGCGTAGCTGATGATGCTTACTAGGAAGTGAGTCAAGAGGTATGAGTGAATGATGCTCCGGAATGGGATAGTGATACAGAATGAGGTTCAATAGAACATTGCCACTGTGCTTCATTTGTTCTCAATATTTCGCTACAGGGCTAAATGAGTGAAGCAAGACCCATCTAATATTTCACAGACAAGAGAATCTACATTCCTCTTAAAGGGCATTTTTTTAAAAAAAAATCAGAAAGTTGAATAACAGAAATGCATACCATCAGTTCTACACAGCTATTGCCTGAATATGCTGTAGTTTTATTTATACTAATTTATACTAAACTTGTCTAGTTTTTCCCTAGCTCTTAATAGATTTGTGTGTGTGTGTGTGTGTGTGTGTGTGTGTGTGTGTGTATTCTGTATCTTCCCTGACAGAGTATATTTTCCACTTTCTGTCAGTGTATATAACTTATCTTGATTTTTTTTTAAAAAAAAAAGCTTTATTTTTTTTTTGTATTGACTTAATGAATTAAGCTGAAAGACAAAAGCCTTACGCCAGCAAATTCTATTAGCAATAAAATAGCACAAGTGCGTTTTTTATGTTTTTATTGTCCCTTGCTGTGTGGTTTTCTACACTGGCTTTAAGATGGTAAAGAGCAACCATGAGCAATCCAAATATTTTAAACGGGGTATTTTACTGAAGGCTACTTCATTCTTGATACTTTAATTTAGTTCAGTTATATCAATAAAAGCGTGCACTCAATGATATACAGTACATATGTGTGGATAGTAAGATTTATTTTACCAGGAAGTACAAAAATCATATATGAGATAGCCTTTTTTCTAGGCTATTGGCTGATATTTGAAATTTTTTTATTGATTTCAATAAACACACTCAAAAATAGTCACTTTTAATTTGAAATTTAAAATCATAGAAACAAGAGATATATATTTAAGAGCACATTTCCAAACTGAATCTGAAGGACAGAACATGCAAAGCAGGTAATTCAAGCGTTTGGCTTATTAGTGATGAGCCAGTTTACATGTTGTGTGGTCCTAGATATGGCGTATTTATACTTGCTGCTTCTGGAAGCTTACTGCTACTAATCTCATTAGCTTATGAACAATTTCCCATCTTGCGGTTCAGCAATATAATTACTTTTAGCCCTTAGCTGCCATAAAGATCATGCAGTATGTCTGTGGGTAACATTTCCATTCAAGTAAAAGCTCAACTATGACGTTTGCTATATAATGTGCTCAGCCATAGAACCAGGCCTCCAAGGGATAAAAAAAACACACACAAAAAAAACACAAAAACATAGTAATTATAATTGCAAGCTTCTCTGGAAGATTTGTTAAAGGCAAATCAGACTTGATTTTTCTCTGCCGAAAGAGTGTCAGTTCCACAGGAGCAGGATAATGAATTCAGGCTTGATCAAACTGCAGCGGGACTTGTATCTTGCCTGCTTCTTCCTGAGCAGAGGTGATGCAGCTCAGCCTTGAAAAGCATCCTCTCTACTGTGTAGAGCAGCAAAGCTGTGGAGAGCACATCAGTCATTTTATTTCCCTTTTGGCATTGATTAATTGGCCTAGATCTTCTTCTGATTGCCCTGCCATTGCTTTAGTTCAGGAACAGAAATGGTGGCACACAAGAGGGGATTTAATGTAGCCCATTGGAGCAAGAAAGGCAAAGATCTGCCTGGGGACCATGAATAAAGGTGATTGTCTGGGTCACTTAACGCAATTAGCTTGGAAATAAATAAACGGGGGAGGGAGGGGGGGCTGCCCTGATTGAAAACTGTCCTCAGTCCTTATAGAAATGTTGTTTTCTAGATTTCACAAATTCATCGAATTTCACAAACTCATTTGCTTTAAAAAGCAGGTTTAATCCCTTTATGCATAATTGAAGTGAGATAAAATAAAATAATCTGGGGTAGAATTGCAACCTTTACATTAACAAACATTTTAGGAAACTACTGGCATTTTTCACCTAATACGGGTAGTCCTCGACTTATGACCGCAACTGAGCCCAAAATTTCTGTCACTTGAGTGAAAGATTTGTTAAGTGAGTTTTGCCCCATTTTACGACCTTTCTTGCCACAGTTGTTAAGTGAATCCCTGCAGTTGACAAGTTAATAACATGGTTTTTAGGTGAATCGGGCTTCCCCATTGATTTTGTTCGTCAAAAGGTTTGCAAAGGGGATCACATGACCTTGGGACACAGCAACGGTCGTAAGTATGAGTCAGTTGCCAAGTATCTGAATTTTGATCACGTGAACGTGGGGGGAGATGCTGCAAAGGTCGTAAGTGTAAAAAATGGTCATAAGTCACTTTTTTCAGTGCTGTTGTTACTTTGAACGGTCACTAAATGAACTGTTGTACATCGAGGACTACCTATAATTGTTTTTGCTGTGGGTGTTTTGAAGTAAGTATCATCAGGTTTTGTTGTTCATATCAGAAAATTAATTTATTTAGTTATAAAAGCAAGATTACTTCATCTTTGCAGGCATAAAAGCTTGCTACATCTTTTTACAAATTACAAATTAAATATTCACATATATTTAACAAGTGCAATACTACTTTCAGTAGTTTTTTTTCTGCTTCATTTTATTTCAATTACTTAAATTAATAAAAGAACTGGAAACCTCTACATAAAATTCTTCCAAGATTATTTACCATACCTGAAGCTTTTTTGTTTTGAGAAAGTTTCTCCATAGCAATTTTTTGTGTGTTTTGTGGCTATTTATATTGCTCTTTTGATTCTGTTTATTGCTTCTTGTCATTTTGACAAGAAGGGTGGACATGTCCCAAAGCTTCTTTTCCAAAAGGCAACTGGGCTTTCTTGGTTTTTTTCCTTGAAAACGTTTTGCTTCTCATCCAAGAAGCTTCTTCAGTTCTGACTGAAGTGAAATGTTTTCAAGGAAAAAAACAAGAAAGTCCAGTTGCCTTTTGGAAAAGAACCTTAGGGACAACCATGACCTGGATAATTGAGAATCTCCATTGACAAGGACGGCTCTGCAAATACAAATAAATGAATTCACCTACAAGAATTGAGTCATTCAGATTAAGCTGAAATCTAAAAAGATACGTGGGAAAGCAGGAGGGTCAGCATCATTAGAATTAGTCAGGAGAAATCTTAACAATAAACATCAGAACTTCACCGTGCAATATAAAATTAATATTGTGATAATGGACAAGAAGATTTATTGTTCTTAGCATTAGACAGCTGTTTTGTTTTCCTTGTTATTTTTATTTTATTTTTAATTTATTTATAAGTTTTTAAAAGACTTTGGAAATTGAACAATGTACAAATTTGTAGCAGAAATAAATACATTTATTGACTAGTATTAGAGGAAAAACTGATAATGTTCTTTAACAATGAAGATTTGTATTCCTTTCAACCTGTGCTGTGTCACACCACTTTACCTCCATCTTCTCTGGGGTAGACCTTGGGGGAAGAGGCTGTAAGAAGGAGGGATTTAAATCAGCAAATAATATCTGTTTGCTTGGCAGAAAGACAGCTTTGGTTGTAGGACTTAAAATCTTTGTATTTCTGTTTTGTTTCTGTAGGTGAAGAACTGAAAGGAAGGATAACAATACACAGAAACCGAAAAGATTCCCGCAGCCTCGTTGTAACCCTTTCAGTTAAAAATGTGAAACAAACATACAGTCTACAGTGAGCGTTGTCGCACAATCCGCTTGAGAATCTTTGTTCAATTGCCAGACGCTTCTTTTTGAAGCAGAAAAACCTGGATAAAATTTTAAGTTCATTTGGTTCTACTTCCCATAACTTTTTTTCCCCCTGGACATATAGCTGATCTATTATATGAGTCATATATTATTATATGCTGTCTTAACCAATTATTTCACCTTGTGTGGAAAACCCTTAGTAGAGTAGCAGTCCTCTGCCCAATCTCTGAACGTTCTCTAAATGTAAGAATACATTGCAATAGAAATACAGTGCAGATCTACATTTAGAAGTGACATCACGTGTCTAATTTTTTTTGAAGAGTTCATATTATTAGATGGGACCCAGAATTTATTTCTACAGTGATGAAATCTCCTGGAGTTTTCTGCACAGGAGGGGTAAGGCAAGCTTTGTCCGTCAACCCTGGAGGCCTTCTTATCACCACTTCCACCCTTCTGGAGAGTCTTCAGAACAGATTTTTGAGAATCTTTAGGACCTGGCAGCTGGATTCCTCCTCTGGTTCAGAATATTTAACTTTGCAAGTAGGAAGCGTCTTTATGTCTGCAGGAAGCCAGGCCTAGTTTCAAGATAATCATAAAAATACTGAAGACACGCAAATAGAACTATGTGGATACCAGAACCATTTAGTGTTTGACTACCTTCAACGATGCACAGGCAAGAATTATGCTTTTGCACACATTATTTTTATAAACATAGTTTCAAAATAAATTCATTTCTTGGTCTTTGGATTTCAAATGTACATACATTATAAGATTGTAATATCTTTAAAATATTAAAAATGGAATACATGAATTTGCTGCTATTAAAATCACCATCACTTGAGTTCATCTCTCTACCTAGAAGGCATTCCAGATGACTAACAAAGCACAGGCTGTGGCCAAGGGACCGGTGTGTTGGCCATATCTGGAACAAAAGGATCTGGTGCCAGGGTAGACTATTGCGATGTACCACATATGGGGCTGCTTTTGTGGACTATTTAGTAATGACAGTAGATGCAAAATGCAGCTGTCCACATGCTGTCATGTAAGAATTGCATCAGCCTTGTTACACCGATACAGTGGAGGTTGCACTAGCTGCCACTAGATTTATGGTTACAATTCTGTATTTTGGTTCTGTTTTTAAATGTCTTTTATATGGCTTAGGTCCTAGCCACTTTTGGAATCACCTTCTCCAGATAGGGCCCTCCCATCTGGTCCCCATCCTAGTTGGGGTGGTAATTTGTTCCCAAATGAGAGAGTTGAAATCAGTGTGGGCCAACCAGAGAATCATGGAATAGCATCCCTCTGAGACTAGATTGGTACAGACTTTGATATTCTGCAAAGCAGTAATAACTGAGTTCTGTAGGGTCTTGGGATTTCAGGCTACCTCTGATGGAGCCCATCATTGGTGTATTAAAAATATCACTTTTTAAACCACATTTTTTTATTTTTATGGATGATCCCAGTTAACAGACATATTCTTGCAGGAATTATAATTTGGTAAACTTCAAAGAACTGTTACGATCATTATCCTACAGTCAGGTTGTGCAATAAGCGAGATTTACCACTGCTGTGACTTGTAAGAGGAACGTTCCATTATATTTTAAAAGCTCTTTTCTATTCATAATTGGATTGAAGCCTGAAAAAATGAAGTGGACAGAAATCTATAGTGGCTTGGAAAGCTTTTCTAAGCAGGGTGAATGGAGGAGAAATGTGCCAAAAGGGATTAAAAGAGATTCCCTCAAAATAAAATATTGGCCTTCCTCCCCAGCCAAGTTTCTATTAAAAGAAAGGACCGGAGAAATGATTTTTATTAGAACCACCATGGGGATGGATATGCAGGAGCCCTCAGATGACCGACCCTGCCCTCTCGGGACAATCAACCCCCATAAGAATTTCTTCTTAGTTTCATATATCATTCTTTACTAGTCTGGCACTGTTAAGCACATTAACTCTGTGACTTTGCCTTGTGTTGAATGTTTTGTAATAAAAAGCTTTAAAGATTGAAATTTGGCTGATGGGATTATAATGTGGTGCTTGACTCCCATGGGATTATAATGTGGTGCTTGACTCCCTCTCTCCCATCTCTCTATGTTTATTTTCAGGATGGAAAGGCTGGCTGAACTTTTACTTAATAAAATGGCTGAAAGGGATTTGTTCAGTGATGGGATTCAGCCAGTTTGCACCAGTTCGGCAGAACCGATAGCTAATTTTTTGTTGCCCAGGCCCAGAATGGACTTCCGGAAGCAGCATCCACACAGAGAACCGGTTGTTCACACATATTTGAATCCCACCACTGGATTTGTTAGCTACTATTAACAGATTGTACAGTCTGTTCAGTGTAGTAGTTAAGACACCAAGCTAGAATCCAAGAGACCTTAACATCCTAGGCATAAAGCCAGCTTGGACTAGTCCCAATCTCAATCCTAGGAAGAAGAGGGCAATAACAAATCACTTCTGAAATCTTACCAAGAAAACTGCAGGGGCTTGTCCAGGTAGTCACCAAGAGCCAACCAGTGATTCAAAGACATATATACACCCACACATGCCCACATGTAACAGACTATCCTGCATGACATGATTTTGCCTGATTCATCACAAACTCATCACATGAGATCTCCCTTCAACCACTGATGTACAGTATCTAGAGAACACAGGAAAGATAACTAGATATAGCTGTTCAGAGTTTCTTTTATAAGCCCTCAAGAATCTGAACTGTTTTAAAAAACAATCACTGTGGGAAATGTACAAACCATTTTGGCACTTTTGTCATTAATTGGTCGGAAGTTGGCAAATATGACTATCAATGAGCTATTAATCAAAATCCCTTTTCTCCAGCATGATTGGATGGAAAATTCACCAATGGGTTATCTTAACCTTCCTGCTCCACGTGACTAAGTCTGAGTCTATAAATATCAGTACCACGCCATGTGCTCCCCAGTTTTTTCGACTTAGTCTTCGTGCTCCAGACGCTTTAAAGAAAGAACTTTAAACTTTATCAACAATATATCTACAATTGAGTAAATTCAACAGGAAATTAAAGGGTTTTTTTAAAATAAAAGTCATCAAAACATTGAAAAAAATGTCTTTGGACATTTGTTGTCCAAAGAACAACCAATGCATTATTTGGAAGTATACAAAGATAAATTTTCAATCTAAAGGAAAGAGACAGAAATTTAAATATTCATATGTGGTATTTCCCTTCACGCAGGTATTTTTAATCATAGAGCTTGTCACATAACAATTAGGCAGACATACAAATTGAATCAATAAAATGTATTAAAAATATTTTTGCTACTACAGTTCTAAAGACACATGTTAATAAAACATGCTTCAATTAAACATTTTTTCAAACTCTTTGCAGTTGCATTCATTTTCAGTCACTTTTGATTTCCATTGATCCAAAGAGATAAATTTTCTCACTGTTTTGCTCTAGTAATTGCATTAATACTTTATTTTGCACCATTTTATATGCCTTGATAAGAATAGATGCTGCAAATATTAAAGACTATGATGTAGTCTTTTTTCAGTTTTCCCAAAATAATCTTCATCCAAAATGAATAAGTGGCTACTGCCACTGAATAGGTACCAATTGTTACCCCTCCAATGCAATCCAGAAAGACTTTGATTAATATGGAGCAGTTTTAGGGCAGAGTAAGGAAGGACTCACTGGAGAAGAGCCTAATGCTGGGAAAGATTGAGGGCAACAGAAGAAGGGGACGACAGAGAATGAGGTGGCTGGATGGAGTCACTGAAGCAGTAGGTGTGAGCTTAAATGGACTCCAGAAGGTGGCAGAGGACATGAAGGCCTGGAGGAACGTTGTCCATGGGGTCGCGATGGGTGGGACATGACTTCACAACTAACAACAACTACTATACAAGAACTATTATTATAGTCAATGTTTTTGTAACTTGCTGAAATAAAAGGAATGTAGATGTGATTTATTTAATTCAAATCCAAAATTCTCTATTTAAAAAAAAAACTTCTGGGAAAGGTTGTATTACTTTATGTACAAATTTCTTGACTGTAACTGGGAATTATGTACCTGCATTTTATTTTAGATTGCCTATATAATTTCATTTTTCAGAACAAATGCATAAAAAGTATTTCCTATATCCCAGAGTTGGTTTGTCAAGAGGCACCCTTAAAATCTGTAATACACTTATCAAAATTTGCTTTCTAATATCCTCATGCCCACATTTTTCCTGTTCTTTTCCAATAAGGACATGCCTAAATAATTGTTGTTTAATATATCCTTATAAGTCAAATTAATATTTAAAAATCTAAATCATTATATCACTAAATAGTTTGTTAATGGGGCAAAGCTACATGGGCTATTAAAGCTGAGAGAGTTGTAATTAGCTAATGTAACTACTCTTTGTGTACAGTATTTTACATTGAATTATTATTTTAGTTATATTTTTTAAGCAAGGGCAGAGAGCTTGTTATAGAGAGATAAAGCTATCTGAGGCAACATTGAAGAATTTTTATGTTTAAGAATTCACTCTGAGTGACAAATAGGTCAATGTTCTTCATAGAGTATGTCCTACCAAATCAAATCATTATTATTTAAAATAAACATCGAAACCTTACAATATCACCATATGTCATGAAAATGTGGCATGTAAGAAGTTAACAAGTAGATGAGAGTGAGTTTTTTTCAAATACCAGAAAGATTATTTATTACTGTGTATTTTGATATCTTGCCTTTATCATTTTTATAAATATCTTAATGTGATGAACATACCTAAGTATCTCTTCCTCCCATTTTCTTCACAAGGACTACATTGGGCTGAGTAGTTGGGTAGTTGGGCTGAGAGAGAGTGACTGGCCCAAGTTCACCTAGCTGACTTTCATGCCGAAGGCATAGAACTCATGGCCATCTGGTTTCTAGCTTGGTGCCTTCACCATGTACACCAAACTGACTCTTCTATTACACAGAAGGTAGCCAAAAGAACATTGGGATGTTACGTATCACCCCAATGTGTATGAAATGACAGCTTTAAATTTCAGGAAGGCAAATTATTTTTTTTAATTTGAAATACCTAATGTTAGTAGCAGTTCAACTGCGAAATCCATCAGGAAATATTGCGTGTTCCCCTTCATTGTGTAGGTTTGGGAAGAGACCTTAAAGCACATGGTTGGGTTTAATGACTAAAACAGCCCTTTCCAACTCTATGATTTTTAAATAGCATTCAACCATTTTTTTTGCTTTTTCACTGAAGATCTAGGAAGCAGTGTTTACAAAACCCACACATAGTAAGTTTATATGAGCTACAATTGCATTGTGTGAAGCCATATATTGAAATTTACAACCAACAACACAAGACATTAAGACCAAACAAAGTGTATTATGTTCAGCCAAACAATACATACAAACCTGCATCACATTAGTAAAAGTGCAACAATAGCTACTTTCTTGATCCAGAACTGTGATCACATGTTTATTTTTAAATGGGGATTTTCATTGAAGATAATATGTGCTATGATCTGGAAAAAAAACGTACAAACACTGGGCCACACTACTGCAAGAATAACTAGCGGATTTTGCCAAGTGAAAGCTATATTGTGAAAACTTACTTGGTTTTCAGCTAAACATTTCTCCCTCTTTAAGACATTTCTTACTTTCTAGTAGTAGTGGAATCACATCTCCATTATAGCAACTAAGAGCTAATACCATGAAATAATCGTAGCATTGCTTAGAACATTCCAATGGCCAATGGATAACCAAAGTAATATATGCTTCACTTAATGGGGACC